TGCAGGCAGTAATAGGCTGATCAATATTTTCTTTCTTTGTTGTATTTATTCCACTATAATATGAAGCATCCACCCTTGCCTTCCCTGCCCAATAATCATAATCATAAGCAATTTATTAGCATTCCCAATAACGTCTCTTGTTTTCTATAATTAAGCAGCCTGTGGATTGCAATACCACAATATACAATAAAGACAAATACTGATACTGTTATTCAGTTACGGTATTTCCTTTCCCTGCAGAGACATAGTCACGTCTGCCAATCATCTCTCTCTCTCTCTTTCTCTTAAGTCAAGAAGTAACATGAACAACATAGGTCAGGGGTTTTTATCTTAAAAGTTAAATTTACATAATTAGGCGGCCCTGTTTGTATCAGGCATACTGGTAGTCCTCAACTTATGATCACAGCTGAGCCCTAAATTTCTCTTGCTAAGAGAGAAGTGAATTTTGCCCCCTTTTACAACCTTTCTTGCCACAGTTATTAAGTGAACCACTGCAGTTGTTAAGTTAGTAACACGATTCTTAAGTGAATCTGACTTCCCCATTTACTTTGCTTGCCAGAAAGTCACAAAAGGAGATCACATGACCCCGGGACACAGCAACCATCATAACTATGAACAAATTGTCAACCATCCGAATCGATTATGTGACCATGGGGATATTGCAATGGTCATAAGTGTGAAAAATGGACATGAGTCACTTTTTCAGTGCTATTGTAACTTCAAACGGTCACTAAATGAACTATTGTAAATCAAGGACTACCTGTAATATGTAACCGCCTCCTGTGGGTCAGCCAATGTACCCCAGATGATTGGCCAAACTGAATCATAGTTTTAGAAGATGAAAGGCCCTCTGTAATTGAACTGCATGTACATATTACATATTTCACACACCCACACTGAATTCCATCCCTACCTCTGTGATCTAGGGCAGGGGTCCCCAATCCCCAGGCCGTAATCCACTACTGGGCTGTGGCCTGTTTGGAACCGGGCCACGCAGTCGGTTGGCGAGTGCACGTGTGAAGCTACTCTCATGTGAGCGGCAGCCACTTGCGCTCGCACATGAACTTCCCTTCGTGCGAGCAGTAGGCACGTGTAACTGCCCCTCGCACAAGTGGGAGCTGCACAGGCTCACGTGTGCCCACCTGCCACTCACAGGGAACTATTCCCTCTTCCCCCCTTGCCGGGCCACCAAGCAAGAAGGTTGGGGACTGCTGGTCTATGGGATGTTTCTTCTCTGTCCTATCTATGATGTTTTGCCAAACCATCTGATGCCACTTAGCTTTTAATCATGTTTAAAGAAATTCAGAGGTACATCTTACTGACCTATAACTCCAAGGTTTAATCAAAATCAATTTGGTGAGCAACCTCTTTGCTACGAAAACAAACTATTACTATGGAGGGTCGCAGGTGGCACAAAATACTCAAATAAAACAACTTTAGTGAAAATGGAAAGGCTCAAATACTATGGCATTTAAAAAATAATGATCACTGCTAAAGGAGAAAAAAAAGAATGATCTAGGTCAAATAGTTATTTTGCCTCAAGTTGTATTTTGACATATTAAAGTGTGGAAATGAAAAAAAAATGTTACATCATCTTTTGCCTGAATCGGAAACCACTTATGAACAGATTTAACAATGCCCGTTAAATTGCAGAGTCATGCCTCACAGAAGTCTAGAAAAACCTGAAGAACTACATAAAACTTAAGGAATTAAATTACTTATCGAACAAACAACAGTAACAGTTTGCTGTTGTTTTTAACAAATACTTTACAAATCTGTTCAAATATGATACAATGAACTACATAAAATAATCCATCAAGTATTATTTATCCTGATGGGAAACAGGACAATTGCCCTGTTTTGGTAACTGAAGCATTAATCTCCATGACACTCAAGACAGAACACTTAGTTAAACAACTGTATTATTCATCACTTAGATAAGGGTGATGCCCATAGTTCTTTCAAAAACACCATTGCCTCTAAGTGCCACAAAGAATGGGGCATTGATGCAGTGACAAAATTGGAATAGGCAGAACTGACATGTTCAACCCACTTTTTTGGAGAGGAATGATGAAGATTTTTGAATTTAAATAAAGTATGGGTTCTAAGCCTACTGAAGATTTAGTGCACTCCTTTTGCTTTTTGGTTGAGTAAATAACCCACCAGAAATCACACTGGTGAATTAGGAGTGGCTCCGAACAACACAACACGGTATCATGCCATCAGTGGGCGAAACGTCGGCGGCAGCTCAGGAGTTCTTGGCTTCCATGACGGCCTTGGACTTGACCCAATTAGTACATGCCCCCACTCACATAGGAGGACACACACTGGATCTAATTTTTGTCTCTGGCCAGTGGCAAAATGATCTGGAAACAGGGGAGGTAATCATTGAGCCTCTGTCATGGTCAGATCATTC